AAAGAATTTTGCTCTCTGGAAAGTTTGATTTGTGGAAGAAGATAACGCCGAAGGATTCACATAGAGAGAGTGAAGTTTTTTAAGACTCAAGTTACATTAAGAACACCTTATTGTATGTGAATTCATTGTAGCTTTATAATTTTGACGTAATTTATTTATTTTTATTGTTGTTCAAATAACGGAAAAAAAAAAGACAAATGTACGTTTCACAAATACTTCATTTATTCACGACCATGGTTTCACCAGTAAAAACATCATCAGGTACAGATTGAAATAGCTTGTAAACGGGTTTATGTATGAACTGGAAGTAACCTTGAGACAAGTGTGGAGGAGCTTAAGTTGGTTTGGTCGTTTAGAACTTTTTCTGAATTTGTTTCTGACTTCTATTTACTTCTAAAATTTCCAGACTGTCCAGTTTGTTTCGTTTTTTTCCCCTTTTTCACAAATATCTAAAATTTTGAAGTTTTTGACGGATCAAACTGGTGTTTAGTTTCAATAAGGTGGGCTGCAAAGGTTGAATCCATTTTCCTTAATTTCTAGCTTCTAGAATGTTCTTTAATTCTTGTTTCTATGTAACGTCCTGTGTGACCTATATGTACACCATTGCAGTCTTGACACGTTAATTTGTAAACACCACTGTTGTTGTACTTTTCGATTCTGTCTTTGTTATTACACAACATTTTTCCTAGGTTGTTTTAACAGTATAAGGCCAGTCTGTAGATTTCTTCGTTCAGTGTGTTATATAGTTTGTGAAAAGGTTTTCCAATGTAGTTCATCTTAAGCCATTTATCTTTCTTTTTGTTGTTGTTGTTTGGTGTAGTATGCGGGTATATTGATTTTAATTTTATGGCTTTTAATTTGTTACATAACTACCGTTGACAGCAATTTGTTTTATTGTTTTTAATTCAGTTTCACAATCTTCAGTTGATAAGAGTAACAAACTATGGAACATGAAAGTTTTGTGAGACATTGGATGTCTTGAAGAAGCATATGACAGTTTTGTGAGACATTTGATGTCTTGAAGAAGCATATGACAGTTTTGTGAGACATTGGATGTCTTGAAGAAGCATATGACAGTTTTGTGAGACATTGGATGTCTTGAAGAACCATATGACAGTTTTGTGAGACATTGGATGTCTTGAAGAAGCATATATATATGATAATGTCACTATAAATCGGCTTTCTGAATTTTTTTAAGGAATGTATGCTGTTATTTATATCAATATTTAAGTCGAAAAATTAATGATTCCGTTTTCACCAAAATTCCATAGTAAATTTAATAAATTTGTTTTGTGAATTTAGAAGAGTCACGAAATTAGCTTTATTATCTTTATATCTGTACCAATATTTGACATATTTTGTATTATTTTCATCACTAAACAATTTCCTCTCTAAATCATCCATGAAAACTTCTGCAAGAAAAAGAAAGAGGAGGAGGAGGAGACCCATAGCTAACCCATCATTCTCTTTATATATGTGGTTATTAAACGTGAAGTAGTTCTGATCTAAGCAATTAATTATTATTATTTCTAACTCCTGGGTTTGTACAGAGTTTACTTTCTCTTTATCCGTTAAATCAATAAAATTTGTTTACATTCATTAACAGGAATACTGGTGAATATAATATGAACACCAAACAAAACAGTATGTTATTCGCTATCTTTAATTTTGTCTTCTATAAGTTCCACAGAGTTATATATATATATATATTAAACTTAGGTTTAAAACCAGTTAGATTTTTGAAAATATTGTGAGCTTTGTGGGCTAGTTAGTAACGGGACTCCATCAAAACCTTTAACAACAATATTAAATCTTTGTTGAACAATAGCAAAAGCCTACTTAACGAACTCCAAGCTAGGTCGCCCGCCACGTCTGTATGGACTTCCTAAACTGCACAAAACGAATATCCCTATGAGACCTGTTGTTTTCTATACTAATGCTCCCGCTGTCAAATCCAGAAAAGTTCTAAACGACTAAATCAACTTAAGCTCATCCCCAGTTGTCTCGAGGTGAATGTCTTAGTTACTTCCAGTTCTTCGGTTGAACATAAATAAACTTGTTTACAAACCATTTAAGTCTGTACCTGATGATGTCTTTACTGACGAAACCATGGTCCTTAATAAATGAAGTATTTGGGAAACGTACAATTATCTTTGTTTTTCTCCTCAATTTTGTAATTATGGAGTTTCATCTACTACCGACGGTTTCAAGTATCAATTTTATATACTATCGTATTTTTATAATAAACTAACTATGGTTAGTTCAATAAATGCAGTAAAAATATGATTAACTGGTATAATAACTGGCAGATATTGATAAATTCTAGGTTGTAACTCAACTAACGTTTTCATTAAGTAATAATATTTCCATGTAACTATATTTATCACATTCAAAATACTTTTCCTATTATTATTCTATATTTTACATCCGTTACTCACTATCTATACCATCGAGTGTGACGAGCATTTTTTCAGACCGAGTAAACATTAATTATTAACAAAGAGAGTGTGAATGGTAACTCTATGAAAGTCATTGCAGATGTAGTTTACCTTTTGTTGCTCTGTGACACTATACGACAAAGAGTCATACAAAATTCTAGAGAAAGCTTGTTGTTATTCTACAAAGATGAGAACGCTACATTTAAACGATTTTGAATATGTAAATCAGCAAGCCACGTGACAACAACAGTCTATCTAAAGTCACAGTGGAACGGAATGTATCCGAACTACATTTTGACATTGGGGGGGGGGGGTATGTTAAAACTCTTTTCGTACATTTACATCATAATGATCAGTTCAGATCTGGTACTTAAAATTTCCAAGACAGGGATATTCCTTGCAATACTGCATTGGAATACAAAGAAATTATGGATCAATTTGGGGAATCAGGACCATCCAGAAAGAGGCTTGCAGCATCACCAGCTGTGGTAAGCAAAGTTCCACATCCTGAAACAGGTGAAAATCCACGAACACAAAGATCAGTGGCAAAAGCCGTCCACGTGCCTCAAGCAACAGTATGCAACATAATTAACAAGGATCTCCATCTGGAAACGAGACTAACAGGGTATGGGATAAGGCTTCCAATCGTACCTGTTCTTCAACAGTCGCATACCTCAAACATCTGGAGAGTGAACTACCATGCTATTCCATATGAAGATGTGTTTTTGTGCAATCGCACCATTGAAACAGGCGCTGAGAAAACATGATTTTCGTACACCAAATGGATTACGTAAAGGATAGTGTGTATTGGGCATGGAGCTTTGCGACTGAGAAGTTTGCAATGAAATCTACGATGTAGGGGTTATTGATCATGATCATAATGTGGCGACATGGGCTGTAAGGACGTGGCGAGGGTCCAAAATAGTATTTATATAACGTACTCAGCCCTTTGTACTACATATTAATCGCCTTTATGACCGTATGAAAATATTCGGGTTCAGGAGTGAAATTATCCTTAAAGAAATAGAGATATTCATCTTTACTAGGACCCTAACCTCATAGCCTATGGCAATATTAAGATTTCTGGAAGTTAACAGTGCATCTTCATGTAATATTCAAACTAAACTGCTGAGAAATACATAAAAATACCGTAAACCGGCACTAGCTTCTATATTCAGAGGGTATGGCTTTCTAAGCATATCAACATATCCTAACGAAGCTCAAATAGGTAACTGAAGAGAAGTGCGTAAGACATCTACTTCAATTAATCGTCAATAGGGATCGAATAGGGATCAATGAAAAGCGTCGAAAATATTGACTTTCTATCACACGGGCAAAATATCCCGAATTTTTTAAAATTGTAAAAGTAAGCAGAAGAAAAGATATTTAAATAGAGAGAGAGAGGTTGTCCAACGTGATTTATAAACCAGATATACGTATTTGTATATTTAAGGCCCGGCATGGCCAGGTGGTTAAGGCGCTCGACTCGCAATCTCAGGGTCACGGGTTCGAATCCCCGTCACACCGAACATGCTCGCCCTTTCAGCCGTGGGGGCATTATAATGTGACGGTCAATCCCACTATTCGTTGGTAAAAGAGTAGCCCAAGAGTTGGCGGTGGGTGGTGATGACTAGCTGCCTTCCCTCTAGTCTTACACTGAAAAATTAAGGACGGCTAGCGCATATAGCCCTTGTGTAGCTTTGCGCGAAACAAACTTGTATATTTAAGTAAATCAATAATACTAGTACGGTTAATGTTAAACTTGAAGTATATTATCATAACATATCTGTCATAATTTTACTGCCGTATCTATGAGCGGTAATAGGATCTATGTTACTACATATATTTCTCTGTATTTCGTATAAAAAATGAATCTGATGTTATATGAAAATTTAAGTTTTATAAAATGTCACATTTCGTTTGATGATAAAATATCGAAAACTTTTCAGACTATTGGCAAATGCATACGCTCACGCTATCTCTAAATCATCATAAAACTATTATTATGCATTTCTTAAACTGAACAATTTATAATGAATTTATAGAATTTCTAGTGAATGAATCCGTCTGTAAAATAACAGATCTTGGTAGTTTGCCTTCTTTTTTTTTACTGGCTAAATCGCAAATGTTGTACATTGTCGTACATCATAGTATTCTTGTGTAACTTTGAGTTACAACAAAATAGAGATTCAATAACATAAGAGTGAGTATGGACATGTTCTAAAAATTCTAAAAGTAGTGGTCGATTGAAGAATGGCCGAGTGTGGTTTCGAACATGTAAAAACGTCTACTGAAAAGCATGCAGATGAAAAACCAACACACACAAAATATGTGAGAATGTTTAACACGTCATTTATTCTTTTTAGACGGTTCTTTATTGTTAAAAAATCACGAAATTGACAATTAAAGTTTTAGCTAATGCTGCATTATTCAAAGCATTATATATATATAAAACTATACACTCAAGCTTAGCTTTTGCCTAGACTTAGACGTCAAAGAGTTTTAAGTGCAGTTTCAATTGACGAACTTTTTGCAATATATTAAAAACAACAAGGAACTTACTGCCATAAGGAAAGAACTGGGAAAATATCTGCTTGAAGGCGTCCTCATCTACAAACCCAGATGGACATACCTGATAAAACAAAATTGCGTCAATTGCAAAATTCATTTATTTATGTATTTATCTTTCAATATATTAACACAGTATAATTGAGGAAAATAAATACGTAGTAAGTTTATATGAGGTTTTATATTAGAAAACT